TGGGAAATGAAGCATGATCGCTGTAGGCGTGAGAGTGCCGTCGTCGGAGCTGATTGAAAGAGAAACTGGCTTTCCATTCCATCGTGATCCAAGAGTGCAGTTTGAACGAAGAAAAGAAGAGAGAAATGAACATTATGTGGCTCTTGAAAAAGAGGTTATCCATTGAGATTTAAAAAAAGTAACTTTCGCGAAAGCAAAAGGGATGTGACGATGAAAAAGTAAGTAGAAGAAGAAAACACTGTGAAGTGGAACTGGAAAAGAGAAATTTTGGAGTTCAAGTTTCCCGATTGATTTTTTTTTCCTTTTGTTGATGAACCATACAGCATTATTGTCATGTGTGCATATTGAGAATGAGATATCTCCTGGATGTCCTTCGGATTTAGCGAAAACCGCAGCAGATTGGAAAATACAATGATGTTGAAATTCCCTGTTCAGTTTATCTATTATTTTTCTGGACCTTCGACACATTATTAAAACGAAAGAATGTTTTTTTTTTTGCTGGTTGGAAACGCAGAAGTTCTACATTGGATCTACATCAGGAACAAGTTTACAGGAGGAACAATAAAAAGCCAGGATATATATTTGAGTACTTTTTTGCCTTTTACTTGACTTATAGGCATCAGCGAGTACATACCATGAATCCTAAATCTTAGTCAATTATTCTGTGTGAAGCAGGGTGAAAAAAAAGAACATTTTGTTTCGTCCATCGATCATCTTTATTCTAATCCCGCGTATTTTGAATAATGCGTTTGCTCAAAAACCACAGGTAATCACACAAGAAAATCGTATAATAATTTTTTGTAATTCTGAAATCCTGCTGCTCATTTATTTTGATAACACATACGAAAAAGACGACGCGCGTCTAATTAAGAGTTTTTTTTATGTGATCTACTCTACTGCATAAATCTGCATAATGATTAAAAGCAACTCAAATATTTACAGCAATAGCGACGACACATCATCTAAACCATAATTTCATGGAATACGAGAAAATTTACTTTGAAAAATCTTGAGAAAAAAAACGGCATTTCTTTTGTTGATGCCAACGAACGAAACTTTCAATACCACGCTCAATTGTGTTGTGTTCAGAGGTCAGAGGAGCAAATCATAAGCCATTTCTCTCTGTTAAGTTCATCTTGTTCTTCTTTTTCTTTCAAGCCGACAAACAGCAACAAAAAAGAGACAAGAAAAACCCGGGTTCGTAAATCTAAGCACCCAATAACGAACTCTCTCTCATTTTGAAATCAAGCGTTGGACGAGGCTCCCAGAAGGCGTCGCAGCATTGACAAAAACCATTGGACGGTTTCCGCTTTGGTAGAAGGTGCAGGGGTTTCAGAAGTCGTAGTCGTAGTTGAGTCGTCACAATTCCCGTTAGCTCTGGATAAAGCATTTTGGTATTGGCCCCAGTTGAGAACTTGCAGCAGTTCCGGGTTCGACTCATCCGTCAACGGACTGTTCCTCATGTCGTTGCCACTGACGATCGGCAGGGAATCAGCCACGGTTCCAAGCAAGAAAATAGAGTTGTCCGAAGATTTGGTCGTCACTGCAGCTCCGGCTAACCGCATGGGATGCTTGATATATGCATGAATAATCAGTCGAACGCCAAGAACAAAGCAGCAGAAGGTTAATATAAATCCCCGAGTGTACAACTTCCGAATCATATTTTTTGATGGAATAATTGAAATTAAATTCATATTTTGTGGGACAGGAAAATATCTTATGAACATGAGCTGCGTTCTCATAATTTAAAATGCATCAATACCTGGTTGTGGGCACCAGAAAAATTTACTTCATACAGACTATCGCTGCTCGCGACCATAAGCAGTGCCAAAGGCGTCCATATAAAAGTATTTAAACTATGCGATGAAGATTTAGAATGGTTCATCTCTAGAAAACGGCTTTTGTTGCACGCAGATAATGATGGATATGATTGAATTTAATTAAGCTGTTCAGCTCCTGTTCTAGAAAAACCGCCAGACTACAAAATAATCAGAAAGCTGAAGACAATTTAGACATTATAAACACTAGAAAGCCTTTCAAGTTGTTTAACCCGAGGCGTAGAAAGAGTGATGAAAATATAAAAATACGAAAAGCGACATTGAAGGACGAAAAATGTAGTCATGCTAATTAGATCATTGAACGACTGTATAAAAACAAGCAGGAGCAGACATCAAGCATACTTCACGATCGAATGATACGAATACATTTTTCAAATGAAGAATGTGATTTCAGAAATTCGCTAAAAAAGCACGCGAGCTTTGCTGGCCCAAAAATGTTCAAAAATGAAAATCGCAAAAAGTTATTTTGAAATTCCAATAGAAATAGTGATGCTTTGGTAAATAAATAAAAAATGAGAGAACTTGCACAAAAATTCGATGACATCAGGCGTCAAACTCGTGGCAGATATTGATATTTTACACAAACAAATGCTGGAGTAAATTTAAAAATAAAATAACCGTATTGAATTCGAAAAGCCTTTTCGAAAAGACCCGATAGTCCCCGTTTAAATTACGTTCGAGAATAATTTTTCTGCCCTCCGTTAAACTATAAATTTTAAAAATGTATCACCCCCTTTAAAATTGATATCTTCAAAATGTGAAGTGGCTGGGAACAGATTAAAAATTCAGGTCCCATTTCTGCCAGCGAAAAAGATTCGTTTAAATTCTTCGGTGAAAAATGTCGGTTATCTGCAATACTGGTGCGATTACGAATATCCGTCCGGGACAATCGGGCAAAACCTAAAATATATTAAATTTTAAAAATTGCCTCGCTACAGAAAAAAAAAGAATCATTCTTGCAATGAAATTCGAGCGTTGATCATTTTTTTCAATGGAACTTATCCTTGTACTGTACTTCTCACGTGTAAAGTTCTGAGCCGTCGCAACAATAGTTTCCTTCACTTTGATAGCAAAACCATTGCTGAGCTGTATGTGCGTTAAATTTAAAATTATAATTTAAACAGGTTACTCTAGCCTGAGCAGGATTTCTCTAAATTCTTGGGATTTTAACAAGAAGAAATACCTTTGAGTTTTGCGATCGAGTGAATTTCGACAGAGCTGCGTTGCTGACGCAGAACCCGCCGTTGGAGCGTGCAGCACGTCCTCGCTTGCAATCCTCGTCGGATTTCCCGTTCGTTTCGATCCTCACGGGATTGGCAAACTCTAAAAAACATCACACATCGAGGCACAAAAAAGTTCAGGTGAGCATAATTTTTTCAAGTAGTGGTCCGTGTGACTGTCTTTGCTGTCGAATAGGACAGGACTATAACAACGTGCGATTGCATGAGTATGACACAAACCCGCCTCGGATCCCGGGTTCACAGTTCTGGGATCCAGATTCCTCATTCAGCCCCCGGGTATATTACTTCAGATAAAATTTGAATACACCAAGGATCAGAGTGCAGAATAAACTTGCTGTGCTTAATCGTTCCTTTAAAAAAGATTGCAATCTGCAATATAATTTGAATATAAAGTGGCTGAGGTTATGTTTAGCGTTCGGTGGATTTTAAAAACATTTCAGAAAATTATATGTATGATCTCTATAGGATGAGTTCGATATAAGTTTTGCTACTGATAGAGGTTCAGCATTTCCGGCGTTTTCTGTGATTTTTTTATATTTTCTCGATTTTGCATTTCTAAAAATTCAAGGATAATAACGCAGCAAGCATCTTCCTCTGCCATCATTCGCCAATTCGTATCTCATTAAGTTTGTATATTACTACGTTGTTATTTCTCGGCATATCTTCGAAATTCATTTTTAATTCCGTAGCGAACATTCTTTCGCATTAGTTAGGGGTCATTCGTCAGCATTTATATACGTTAACTACAGCCTCAAAAACCAGCTTTCCACCGGTGTTACCCGCCTATATGATAGCAGTTTCTTACAATATGTTTCTTCTTGTCAGGAGCTTGGTCCAGGGCCCCGGCGGATTGATTATTGGAGCACTAATGGCACGGGCTCAGGGACACGTTTCTTTCGATGGACCCAGTGAGGAGTGTGATGCGAATTGGGGGCCTGCATCTCGCGAGAAAATAAGGAGGCATTCTTACTAACCGTCGGTCCATCCGTAGACGAAGACGGGTCGCAGGGAATAATCGGAGGCAATCATTCGGTCCCTGTTATTGTTGCCCACCCGGATGGGTTGAATGCGTTCCGTGAGCCGAACAGGGCGCGGGAACACGACAAGAAAGGCGCTGTCAGAGCCTGCACGCAGTTTCGGGATCGCATCTCCGGATGAGAATGACATCCCTCGGAACTACGGAAAAAAATTGCAAAAGGTTGAACATTTTATTCATAGAATACATCAATGGTTTCTCTTTTGCCAATGCAATTGAAGCCCCGCCGCATGCATGGAGACAGGTCAAAAATCTTGATGGCTCTTCAAAAAAAGAAATCCTCAGAGGAACCACGTCCGCGAAACTATTCCTTTAACAAACTTTTTTTTCGAGTGATTTTTCCTCGTTGGGTTAAGAATTTGGACATTTTCGGGGACAGCTTTGTTCGAAGTTCGTACGTTATGATTTCCTCTGTGAAAGACGCATATTTGAAGAGACCAAACTGAGTAAAGTTTATAAATTGAAGACTGCAAGCTTCACATTATGACCAAAACATGAAAATAGAACCATCGGTGAAAGCTCAATTCTGAACGAAAAATTTCTTGATCAGTTCACTATATTTAATTCGATCGTTACTTTGTTATGTAAATGTTCTAAATGTGTATCATTTCCGTTCTGTCGTAATGTTGCTATGGAGGTGACTCTCTTTTCAAATTACTGAAAATTCATATAAAGTGCATTCGTGATTCGTTCGTAAGAACAGCAGTTGACATTTTTTTTCATAAATTGTTTGAAGAAATGTAAAGCGCTTGGAAAGCTTTTCGAGTTGGGTTCCTGGGATCGTGATGTGATTTAAAATTGTTCTAAAAAACAATTATTAATTTTAAATTTTATTCATTCAAGCGAGGGGAGAACTTGAGCGAGGGCCATTTCTAAATTTGCTTCACGGTCGAATCGTTTGCTGCATTTTCAAGTCAAAGTTTTGGGCAGAGTTTCGCGTCTTCAAGCAGTACTTTCGAAAATATATTTTTACGTTGAACATGGTTCGCATTCTTCGACCCACAAACTTCCATAAGGATTCCATTTTCGAGCAATGATGGTGGAAGGAAAGGCGAAGGTCAGTTGAACGATTGAGATCAGGCGCGCGAAAAATTGCTTTCCCGGCGGCACCTGTTCACAAAATCCTACCTCGGCCTCATTCTCATCTTTCGAGGTTGCTCTTTTTTTCCTTTTTTTTTTGTGATATGGCAAAATACTTATTTCATGTCGTTCGAATGCATCTCGAAATCCTGGGACCCGGCTTTTCCCATCGGTCCCATTTCACAGTCTCCCGCCATCTGATTCGAAAAGGGTCCATTCAATATTCCTTCTTTATGGCACACACAAAAGAAGACCGGGAGATGATTCGCATTTGTGCGGAATTTTTTCTCGACACCAGCGGCGGTGTCGATTTCCCTGAGAAGGGACAAATAGCTCGAGTTTACCAAAATTGGCGCGTTTCGGGACGCGCCTGGGGTTGTAAATTAATCCCCTTGGCGGGGAAACAGGCGGGATCAATTAACTCGCCGAAGTCGGCGCACTAACAATATCTTAACCCCCGGAACCGGGACAAAACAGTCGTCAAAAACGACGTCTCCACAAATCCTGGGACCCGGCTTTTCCCATCGGTCCCATTTCACAGTCTCCCGCCATCTGATTCGAAAAGGGTCCATTCAATATTCCTTCTTTATGGCACACACAAAAGAAGACCGGGAGATGATTCGCATTCTCAGTTGTTCGTTGCACTATCATGCTCTGAAAACTGGAAAATCTGAATTCGCTTCACTATTTATTTATTTAAATTTTACATGGGATGTAAAAGCTAATCGATATTTTTTCGTGTGCCAAAATCTCCTTATATGTAGTATCTCTGTCAGTGTTTTGAAAAATTATGTTGCTGAAGAAACAGGCCAGTCACATTTATGAAAGAAAACACAATAAGGGGGATTTACGATTCGTTAAATTACGTCATTAAAGGAGGACGCGTGTTGAAGATTTATTAGGAGGAGCAACAGTAACCCCAATAATTTATCAATTATCCGGGTGAAATGTGAACGAGTGCCTACTTGAAATATGCATTCACAACGACTGGTTCGTTATATATTGGTACAGTAGGACTTATCCATTTAAGATAATAAAATCAATAGGTGAATTCTTCAGTCATTTCTCTGACGAAGTTAATTTCGAGCTATAAATTATTCTTTCCCTGCTTAATCGTATAGCCGCATATAGGGAAAATACGAAGCATGAACATATCAATGATTGAACGGGTTTGTCGAAATTTTTTTTAGCTTATTCTTGGAAGATTGTTTCTAAATCTGTACGAACATAGCCACTAAATTGGCTTAAATATCACCGATGAAATTTGGTCCAGCAATGCAAAAGTACGAGTGAGGCATACGCAACACGCAGCTTTTCGAAGCTTAAATGTCGAAGAAAGGCTTTTAAAATTCAGATCTGTACATTCGAATAAACTTTTCAGAAAGTCTAAAGGTGGAGAAACAGAATTTGAACCAAGGAAAAGTTGAACGATCGCTGCGTTCGAAATCGAAATCCATCATGTTTCCCTCGCCTCATTTTGTTAAAATTGTAATTCAAAAATTTCTTCATTTCATCCAGTTTAAAATCTGTCACTCGGTCTGGATGGCGAGAAATTAATGCTGTGATACTTTATCTTTTTTTATATTTCCATCGGATGTTGAAGTTTTTGTTCGTTACGGAATAAGAAGGGTTCCAAACCTCAATTTCTCCGGCCTCTCGGACATTTTGATCCAGATCCCCGAGGATGGTTCGAAAGGTGGGCCTTCTTTTATGTGGACGCAACGGAATGTTTCGCATCTCGTTCATGCTTCCTGGAGCCAAGGCTGCTTTTTCTGAGATCAGGATCCCGTTGTAGGTGTATGAAGGATCATCTTCGGATTGAAACCTGACCAAAAACGGAACTTCCTTTCTATCTAGCACTTCTTCTACTCGTGCGTGAATCGGCCTGGAATGTGATCGGCCCATTGCTGGAAAAACGAAAAGAAAATTTCAATTCACGCCAAATCTTCGAAACTGTTACTGCTTTTTGACACATGAGAGGCATTTGCCTGAATCTTTGCTGTGATGCAAACCAAAACCTTTTTTTTTAGGAACATGACATATGATAGGAGAATGGACTCTTCGACGATCCATTAGAACGCAGCTCTTTAAAATAACAATTCAAACTTTTCTCCAGATTGAGCAAAGTTTCGTGAAATCGAATCGTATCGAAATAATGTGTATTCTACAGTAATATACTGTATAAGAAAAGCACAACAAATGAACAAACACATATTTAATATTCGCTGATGCCTGCGAAGGAGATAGCAATGATTCTATCTACGCATTACCATAAATTTAAAGCAGGTGTACATGAATTTGATTGAGAAATGGATTCCTACCAAGATATTTTTTTCGTGGAAAAATTTAAGCGAAAAACACAAGATTAAACAGCATACATTTTTGTAAAATACTCACGACTGTCGACTGCGACGGCATTCGACAGTGAATTGCTGTAGATGATGATGGGAGCTGAAAACAGCGCCAGGAGAGTGAACAACATTTTTTTCCCCACGAAGTCAAAAATTTCAACTGCAAAGGGAATACTGAGAAGGTAACTAATACAAACTGGAAGAAACGAAATTCACTGGATTTCCCGACGAGTTCGTGTTTTCGATGCGACGCGCCGAGTATTATTCCTTTGTTGGGAAAAAATCGAGGGATAATGACAAGGAAAGCGATTCGATGCCCTCCTTTTATTTCTCGTAATTCCTAATTTTTTATTGTGTCAAGCTCATCGCATTTCACCTCACGTTGTTGTTGTTTGTTTTTTTGTAGATGACAGCGGTTGGATTTATTCCGCGTCGTAGACGACGACTGCTTCATGCGGAATGCACTTTGGAGCATGAAAAGAAAAGAAAAAAAACGAGTCAATTCGCACGAAAAGCCAAGAGTTTCAAGGAAAGCTTGATGCTTCAACGCAAGAACGATTTCGAAGAAAGGAAAAATAAAATTCTTTTCATCGTGAAATCTCCACTCGTCAACCAACATTTTCGAGTTGGGTAGGATCGGCACACGTGAGAGCATCAAAAGTCGAAGTCAGGGAATTCGTCAACGATAAAATAATGTCGCTTTCGTCGAGTGGACCTCGAAAATGGTCGATGGCATCGATACCCCAGTACTGAACTTGTCTCGGAATCCTTGGTGGATTATTACGGCTTTTTTTTTTCTTGCCAATTTCCTTTCCCTTCGTATTTTAATGACTGGGCTGCTCTGCGAATTCAAGCGGTAGAAATCAATGACAGGGGAACTTGCAAATGCCAAGTTACGAAGGACCCACCGTCCTCTATTTCGCCGGGGACCTCATCATCGAAAGTCATGAGCGAGTTTCGTCTCTCTGCGAAGTCTCCGTTACATGGAACCCTAAGGGGATGTTGCGCTGTTTCATAAATAATTGATGCAAGGATGATGCGAGTCTTTGCGCCATGTTCATTTACTCAGCTCTCTGCAGAATTGTGCGAGATGCTTGTTTGACCCTGAATGTATCGTCCTATTCTCCTTCCCCTTTCTCATTTTATCTTGTGTATTATTGCTGTTTTTTTTTGTTGAAAAGGAATCGACGATCCTTGACAAAAGAGAAGCCTCATGCGAGAAGTCCGAAGTCCCATTCCTACGCAGAACACCTTTATCATTTTTCATTGAAATCGCGGTATTTTCGTAATTCATTTTGAATTCCTGCGCTTGAAATTCCCTCACGACGATTAAAAAAAAAAGTATATCCTATCGGGGGATTCTCGAATACCTGTCTTCGCGAGATGCTTACAATAGAACTACGTGCTTCTATTTGTGCTTAGCTTCAAATCCAATTTTGGATTTATTTTGTATCTGCAGCATACTTATACTTATCGAGATTTTAACTGAACCGTTTCATTTTGTTTGATTGACTATTATCGAATATCCAGCAGTCGAGTGAATTTTCCTGGATGGTCAGTCATTTCACCTTTTCTGAGTGCTTTTTTTACTGCTGAACACAGTTTTTTAAATAAATAATTTCATATATTCCAGATATTTTATTAGACAGCAGAAAGAGATACCCGCGGTTATTTTTCAAAATCGCCGGATTTCTATTGGCTTCTGAATCTGAATAATGTTTATTTTTATACCCTAATGGTTATAATCGAATAAGATACTAGAAATACTGGGGGTAAATTTACCCAGCCGACATCTTTGAAATGAAAATCGCATTCAAGCCACAGTGGAGTATATGAAAAGTCAAGAAGATACAAATGAAAAGATGAAAAGTTTTTAGTTTAATATATATGGGTATGGGTTCGCCAGGGATAGCAAAAGCCAAGTCCCGTTTGAATTTATGTAATCCATCAGCAGCAGTTCAATGTAGTTGCCTTTTGTTCGCACTTCATTTATATTCTTTAAAGAGACGTGTCGGAAATCTCTGCGAAAGAAACCGACGTGATCCCTGGCTCAGAGCTCGACTTGTGTTGTACAATGCAAAACCTGGCAGGAAACCCTCATTCATCTTTTTGGTACCACATGCTGAAGACATATTCTACTGTACAATAATGGTATGCGTGCTCAAATACCGTGTTCATATCAACTGCAGGACCCGCGTCAAGATGAGCATTGTGGACGAAAGGGACCTAAAAAACCTAGTTTAACGTCCCTTGTTATGACGGTTGTGTTATTATCATGGTGGCGGTGCATTTAATTTTCGTTGTATTAATCGTAACTTCTTGCTATCCCCCGTAAGCAAATGGATGCCATTTAGTCAAACCTCTCCAAGTCGAATTTCTAGGGACCAGCAAGAAAATTCCACTTAGAGAGGTTTTGAATTGAGCTACAATACAAAGCCTTTTTGCTCTGGGAAACATATAAAAATTGCTCAAAATTGTAAATTGTGATATTCTGAGGCTGAAATTACGTCTTAAAAGAGTTGAAAGAATCCTGAACTTGGAGGCAGGGTTCATTTGTCCAATTAAGTCTCGCGCCTCCTTTTAAAACAAAGAAATTTCTGTTTTTATTGCCTTTTTTATTTCTTGTTTCAAGAAAATGAAAGCCAACAGGCCACAGAAAGTTTGACTCATGGAGGTTTGAGGGGAAAAGCCTTCAACATAGGGAGGTTTTTAATGGAATTAAATTAAGGTTTTTAATCCAAGGGGATTCAGACAGGATCTAAAAGAAAATTCGACTTAGGAGGTATTCGACTTAGGGAGATTCGAGTTATCCAGGTGCAACTGTAGTATAATCCCTGTAGTAGCCAAACTAACAATATGGCTTTGAGTCGTACTCCACTATGCGTTTCTTACCCTCCAAAAAAGCGCGTAAAATTCTGGAAAGTTAGAAGAATGAAGAGAAAACATTCCAGTGAACTTCTCATGATCCTGATAATCCTCGTTTAAATATACTGGGATATTCTGTAGTTGAATTGGCGTTTGCAGAAGTTCACGAGGCGGTCATTCAACAGGCATTCGTCTCCTCCTCCGACAATTTGCTTTCCTCGTTCATTATCATATAGTATGGTAGCTTTCTCGCAGCTGTTCGCTGCCATTTCGGGAGCTTCCAATAAGCGACCGCAGAAAAACCCTTGACTGAGGTCTTCGACACAAATCTGTTTCCGAAGACGAACCCAGCAAGGAGAAACAGCACACACAGATTTTCTTTTTTTGCTGAGCGAAAAAGAAAGAAAAAGCGAGTGTAAGACATCTTCTGGGAGTGAAGGAAGCGTCGGAGATTGCGGGACCGTGATGACGAGTGTTTCCTTAGAGAAACAGCACACACAGATTTTCTTTTTTTGCTGAGCGAAAAAGAAAGAAAAAGCGAGTGTAAGACATCTTCTGGGAGTGAAGGAAGCGTCGGAGATTGCGGGACCGTGATGACGAGTGTTTCCTTGGGGTGAATAAGCGAAGATGCTAGCACAAAAAAAAGAGGGCTTATAGTTTGTGTCGATACCCAGACGAATTTCGAATGGATTCGTCACTAATGCTGTTAATTTTTGCGAGTTTTTCTTTATGTAATACCTTCGATACTTGGAGGATATATGAGGAAGGAATTAATATTTTTCGAAATATTGTAGACCTCGTTTTCATCGTTTACTGGCGTTCTGGTATTCCAGAATGCTTGCCTGAAGATCAAATCCGTATCCCAATACATATTCGGAATTTAAATTTCCCGAAATCTGTTATTCACGTTTAATGAAAAGACACATAATTTTCATCCTTGCATATAATGGAAACGATTTACTAAATCAAATGATTTACCTAAAATGCTGTGGTTCTAGCAGCTCATCGGAAATAAGAGGTATTCGCGGTTTGTCGAATATGAACATTTTTTTCTGAAGTGCATACTGTATGTTAGTGAAACTTCAAGATAGTTTTTCTTTTCAACAGACGATCAGCTTTAAAACAATGAATAAAATTAATTAATGCGTGACTTTCCAGTGAAGCTCGAAAATTTCTTACAGCTTCATCTTTCACTTTCCATCTGAGCTTTCAGGGTAATTATGTATTTCTGCCCCTAAATAGTCCCGAAAATGAAACCAACATGGATAGAATGTGCATTAAAATTTTTCAGTGTCGGTCGGAACTTTGGTAGGATTTTGCAGGCAATTTAATGACATTAAATTATAAATGAGCACGATATTCTCTCCTAATTTGCTAAAATGATCCAGTCACAAAATAAATAATGTTCGCATCCGTAAAAGCGTTTTCCTATATTTTTGTACAGGCGAACTCAGTGGCGAGTCTTTGTTACATATGAATAAAAAATAAATAAGTGATTATAATTAATTAAATTTTAAAAGGTCGTATAGTTAATTTAAATCCTAAGTTTTTCAACTTAAAAGTGGTTAATTATGTTCTT